AATCAAGCTGGTTGCTTTTGGATATAATTCACTGACGTATACTTAAAGCATCAAAAAAAATTTTGATCAATTTGCTACATAACTTTTGAATTATAGGTGTTTAAATTAAGAAAAATAATGAAAACAAGTGAATTTTTTTATGTAATTTTTAAGAGGGGCACAATTAGTTATGTCATAATTTTTGAAGCACACCATATTTTGATTTGAAATTAAATCGGCGTTTAGCACTTATGTGTACACTTCATATGTAGTGGGTAAGAAAAGTGTGCATTAAAAAATAACGAAATGGNAGCACTTATGTGTACACACGGTTAAAAATTTCGGTTTTAATTGTATATGTTTTTATCGGTTTTTTTATATATGACCAAACTAAATTCAGTTTCAAATACAAACCTTCCAAGTTTATAAAAAATAGAGCACATATGGTGGGTTTAGAATTTAAACAATTCGGTTTAAATGTTAAACTCAAACATTTTCATAATTAAGAATAAAAAAAAACAATCTTAAATTTCATGCTCCGCCTGGTTGGGATTGAACCCGGACAGCCTTGGTAGCAACCAATTGTATCAAGCATCTTTGCACACTCAGCTACAGCCACGCATGTAAATGTGCTTTCATATGTTGAGTTTGAATCAACACCACAATTCGCTATGCAAACATATTCTATTTCGGTTTAGATTTTAAACCAAAGTTTCTATATTTGAAACCTAGAAACTAGAATTAAAACATTTTGGTTTGATTTTTAAACCACGAACTTTTTGGGCTAAAATTTAAACCAGAATATATTAAAAATTGCGTAAAACTATTGACTGGTTTAAAAAGTAGACTATAAAAGTTTAAAAAAGGCAGTAGTCCCAAATTTTTGACCGTGCACTTCATATGTAGTGGGTAAGAAAAGTGTACATTAAAAAATAACGAAATGGCAAGTAACTCAAAGTCTGTAACTTTACATTTCTGAATTTTCAAAATTTTCGGTTTATCGCGTATAGGTTTTGAAGCATTTAATTTTAAGAACTTTTTAAGTATGTATTGTATTCTACAAACAATTACGAATAATTTGATACCTTAGCAAGAGGTGTGCTTTCAGAATAAACTAACTTTTAAGGTAAAATATTCTGCGATCTTGAGCGTAACTTTTATTCCAAAAACACTTTAATTGAAGGCACATTTTATTATTATTATTATTTATTATTACATTATTATTACACTATTTTTTAGATTTGCCCATATACATTAAGGCGTATCACGAAAAAAATAATTAGCGTGTGTTAGTTTTATTTGAATACTTATGTATGTCGAGAAAAATTTTTGGCTGTAAAATTTCTTTTTAGGCTTCAGCTAAAAACCGCTAAATCGCGTTTTTTGCTATAACACGATCAACTTTTTTACTTTCATATGTCGTGATACGGCTTAATGTACATGCATATATACAAAGATGATAGTTGATCCAATTTTTCGCAATATCGATTACCAGTTGCGCTTATTGGGCTTCTGCCGCTTGCAACCATTACATATCTCTATGCCAAATCATTAGCGTTTGCAGTCGCATTCAGCATGGAGCGTTGGCAAGGCAAAGTTGCTATGGTAACTGGTGCCAGCAGCGGCATCGGTGCCGCTTGTGCTAAGGCATTGGTCTGCGCTGGTTGTGTTGTTGTGGGGCTAGCTCGTCGCCAGGAACGGATCGCGCAACTCCAACAAGAATTGCCAACTCGAGTGCGCTCCAATTTGCACTCCTACAAATGTGACATCACACGTGAGGAAAGTGTGCGGGATGCGTTTAAATGGACCGAACAGAGGCTTGGCGCCGGTGTTGATATACTGGTGAATAATGCCGGTATTATAGCGACTACAGAGCTAAGTGGGGCACAAAATACGAACGAGATACGCGCCACCATCGATACGAATCTGTTGGGCACCATTTTTTGTACACGCGAGGCTTTCAATGCGATGCGTGAACGCAATATTGAGGGTCATGTAGTGATTATTAATAGTGTAGCTGGATTACAGGTACCTAATTTGAGACCTGATTTGCCATCATTGAATGTATATCCGGCAACGAAGTTCGCTTTACGAGCGATGAACGAAATTTATCG